GGGGGTGCAGTTTACATCTGAGTTCTGGAAGGCTTTCCTGGATCTTTTGGGCATCACTCAGGGGTTGTCAGAACATTCAAACTCAGTACTGGAACAATATGTAAGATGTTTTATAAATTACCAGCAAGACAACTGGACCAGCCTGCTTCCCTTTGCAGAAGTTGTGTATAATAACATTGTTCACTCTAGTACCGGGTATATGCCATTCCAAGTCGCAACAGGGCAAAGCTTCCACTCAATGCCTGAACTGCCAACTAATGAATACACTATTCCCTCTCTGAAGGAATGGATCACATAACTCCAAAATACCTAGCCGGTTGTAAGAAAAGCCTTAGATGAGGCTAGGGAGGCTTACAAGACTCAGACAGATAAAAAATGAGTAGAACCAAAGCCTTTCCAAGTAGGGGAGAAAGTATACCTCTCCGTTAATTATTTAAAATTTCTGCAACTGTCAAAGAAGTTAGGACCAAAATTTGTGGGTCCTTTTCCCATTAAGCAGATAATTAATCTGGTAACTGTAGAACTGGAATTTGCCAAAACACTAACACAGATTCACTCTGTATTTCACTGTAGCCTATTGAAATGAGAATTAAGCTCACCATTAAGGCCAGCTATAGTTCCTCCTCCTCCTCCTCTGATCATGGTAGAAGGAGAGCAACATTTTGAAGTCAAAGAAATCCTAGACTCTAGAAAATATCATGGTTTCACATAATACTTAATAGCTTAATACCTTCCCAAAATCAGTGGGTCCATAAATGGCACATTAAGGGCTATGAGAATACTTAATAAATTTCATGCTAAATACCCTAACAAACCAGACTAACCCATATGTGCTTTCTCTCCCTATTTTGTTTCTTCTACAGGTGGATCTCTCATTTTCAAGGGGGCGGCGGCATGTCAGAATCCGGGAGGGGGTGATCTTTATTCTTGTGGATTCTGCCATAATCCTGTGGGGAGGGGGAGGGGGAAGCTATGGGTGCTACAATATATGTTCTCCGCTTTCCTCTATCTGCTTGCTCTTTGATTTATTTCCTTTGCTGCTGGCCTGGGGTAAGAATGGATTATCTCTAGCTGCGGAACAAGAGGCACAAAGACCCAACAGCCTAACAGCCTTGAGAATAGCGCCTTATAAAGCCCGTTCCCACAGTGGATTCACATCTGGGGATTGGGCCATTTGAACTGGCTGGATTGACTATTGGATGGGGTTTGCCAGTTACTCTTTTAACTTATTGATTCACACGGGAAACTCCTGCCTTCTATGCCTGCTGTCAACTTCTCCTAATAAAAGTTCCTTTTGGAATGAAGCTGTTCCAGGAGTTCTGCTTTCTTGGAAAGAGGGATTGAGGCAGGTCCTTACACTGTATTTACTTCAAGATGAAAGAGAAATGGCATTTCCTGAGGCTCCTGTGACACATAGGAACTTAGGCTGATTTAGTCTGTGCCTCTGCCTAGTTAGATAAGTTCAACTTTTTCAAATGACTATGTTGGTAAGAATGATAGCAGAGCTGTTCCAGAGCATCTGAAGACTACCACATTGAGGAACGCTCAGTGATCTCCTGTATTTTCTAATCTCACTTCCAGTATCTGGCAATCTTTATGAATGATAGTGAGCTTGTTTGAAAGCAGCACTCAGTAAATATTGAATTTTGCTAGTCTATCGTCAACACAGGTGTTGTTTTTTCTGTAAATATCAAAACACTGTAGTTATTGCTTACACTTTTATATGAATCACTCCTGCAAAGCTTCCCAAAGTGCCTCTTTAACAAACTGCATAGTAGCAAGAGCACATGTCAAATGCTTAAGGCACACAAAGATTTGTTAAAAGAAAAAAGTATGTCTTTTGACATTTTTTGGAAAAAAAAATTGACAACTATGTTGAAAATCATATACCAAACTGTATCATTATGAGAAAATATTTATTATGGTAGCTATAGTTTCATAAAATCTACATACACATTATGTGATACTAAATGAGATATATTTACCTTAGAAGCATAGATAGGTATATAAGCATTGTATTAAATGTAGTGGATATTTTCATGTAGCTCATAAGAAAATGATAATACTTACACTATAATGCATGTAACATAGTTAACATCACAGTATCCATGGCTGTTAAACCTTACAACCTTATGTTTGGTGACAGGTATCTTATTTCTCAACTTGAATGCCATATTAATTGGTATTCTGCTACTAATGTTTACTGAGTATTAAAAATATTTTCATGTACCTGTCATTACCAATAATGGCTTTTCTGGATTTATCTTCAATTACATATGGACAAAATCAATCAAATTCTGTAACGTGCATATGTACCATACTGTGCATTACACATGAATAGTTTTTACATTTTATATGGTTGAATGAATCAACTTGAAAAGAGATTTGATTGATAATTAGCAATATATGGAATAGATTAATAAAAATATTAATAATCCATGCATTTTAAACAACTTTTTATGGTAGGAAGTTTAATAAAAATAAGAGATAAAACAATACAACTCAAGCAATTCTCAACTAAGAGAAAAAGAAATCACAAAGCATTTCATTCATGCTTACCTGACACTTGGAATATCACTGAAACAGACTGAAATAGATACGTCTCTTGAAAGTGTCTATTCTGAATAAGTCAGGATTCAATCCAAAGACTTTTGTCACACATATAAAATCTTTGCAATGCTAAAGCAGTGAGGGGTTTCACCATGAGGGAGCACTATTAAAAGCACACAAAGTGTATTGCAACCTTGAAGCAATTAAATGTATTTTTAAGAGGCCATGAAAGAGAAAGAACAACCTCAGTAGAAATTATTGGATTCAAGAAAGACTTTATCACATAATTTTCATGTTGTTCAATGGTTCTAAGAATGTTGAATCTCAATATTTGCAGTAGTAACTTTTTCAAATGCAAGGCACATTCTTCCATGATAGCCTGTTCACAACCCTTCAATTAAAAACAAGCATCTCAACTTTTGCAAAATTTTAGCAACCTCCTATGAGAATAATAAAATCTTAATACATTTAAGGGTATAGCACAATATCTCATGTCAAAATACAAAATCTAAGAACATTTTGAGAATTTGTAAAATGTTGAGCATTATTTAATATACAAAAGAATAGCAAAAATAATTTTCGTATCTCAGCATTTTGATCTGTTTTCCAGCCACAACTGATTTTAAATTTATTGTGTGCATTACAAGCTATCTGTACCATTTAGAGTTCTAGAAAAATGGGTTTCAAAATTTATGAATAATTCCCAAAGATATAGAAGGCTGAAAACAGTCACTCCTTATTATGTATATGAAAACTAGGATAAAGGGAGAATTGAGCTACTATATTCTTCTTCTACTTCTTTAGAACTCTTAAGAATTGAAATTGGCTTAAGAGTTTTCCAAATCCAGTATCTCCATTGGGTCTCTTGTACACTTGTGAAAGTGGATACTTAGAAGGTTTATTATTCTAAGGTGATGATTGGAAATCTCTCAAGACTAGGTTGTGTTATCAGTCTTCAGGTTCCAGAAAACCGGCTAAATTTTAACATGGCTCCCCTGTTGTGATTGATTTGGTTGATATTTATTCTCTCTGTTTGTTGTTTTGCTCTTACTGCTTCCATCAGAAGAATGAAAGCAGCATCAGGACATAAATTCTGTCTCGTGAGGACATGGGTAGAATAGAACAAGGGCTTTCATCAACTACAGAGGCTGCTGAATACAGTGAATCCCTTGAGTGAATGATTTGTTACTACATAAAGTACCACAATAAATATGGTCTAACCACATATTAGTAGCCTTATGTCTAAGGTGAGCTAGTAATCTTACATTGATGAGATTTAAATAATTACACAAAGTCATGAACCTCTATGGATATTATTTGTGAATTTCAACCCCTGTTCTTCCAGTTTCTTAAAGATGCTTAATGTAATTAAGAGATTGGAAAAATGAAGCTTATCCAGAAAATGGGTTAATTATCCATTAATCTAATTCCTCATATACTTACTATGTTGATTGAGGAAAGGACAAATGTGGATTATTAGGCATGTTATTTGCTTATTTGCAACTGTATCTGGTGTACTGGAGAATATTTAAAACTGACATTAAAAGATCAAATTACTAGCTAATTTTTGTGTATTCTGTTTATAGATGTACGAATGTAGATGTAGGAATCAAATAATTATATTTATTGGAGACACAAGAATGGGTGAGCATTTAGGTTCAATCAGCGCTAGATAAATTCAGGGTTTCTTCTGTATAATGTGAAACAGCTCATTATTTTAGAAAAAAGTTAGCAACATTTATTTAAATTCTATTCTTATTCCTACATCTTGGTGGAAATGTTTATAAATGTGATAACAATGTGAAAAGTAAACAACATAATTCTAAACATGTTTATGTGAAAGTTAATCCTCCTATGGATAATGGGATGTATTATCTGTTAAATATGTTTCTGAGGGAAGCTAAATGCAGAAAAATAAATGAATCTTTCATATTTCAGTCTTGAAATGAATTGGATCCACACTAATCTGGACTATTTCTATTTAAGAGCAACAACTGGTGAAGTGTTATTTATTTGTAAGTGGTAAGCAGTAAGGCTATAATAAATATCTCTGTATTTTCCTCAGTAAAGGCCTGAAGAGGTGCAAGGAATTAAATATCTCATCTAAAAATGAAGCAAGCAGGTTGAGGATCATATTGTATGAAAATCACATTTCTAATACTGTTACATTTCTACCCCCCCCCCCATCTATAGCATATTTATACTGTAAATTAGTGACTGCAATGCATGCAACAAAAATATGTTTTGCCAGTTTATGTAAACATTAGCTTTCTTCATGCAAAATGCCTACAAACTGTGGCAACAAATTATTCTAATAGCATCATTTTACATTAGCTCTGTCACAGCAACTGTTATTCCTGCTTCCATGATTATTAAGTAGAGAATATTTTTAAAACCCTTGAAAGATTTCCAGTCTACATTCCTGCTCATTTGATTTTGTAAGGTTTGAACTACTCTTTGCTGTAGTTCCTTGTTCTCTTAATGATGGAAGAGAAGAGGCCAGTTTTCGGAGGAGGCCCCATCAGAACTGGAGCTTGATTCTTGTGGGTAATTTTTATCTGGCAAAAAAGAAAACAGTTATAATTATATCACCTGTCACAAGATAATTTTAACCTTCCCTTTCCTAACTTTTAAACATGTTCCAATAGAACATAGGGCAAGTGAACACAATTTTAAAAAGCTGATAATTGATTAGACCATTATTCAAATGAAAGATTAACATAATCATATACATTACATTAAAGTCACTCACTCATCCTCCTAGTGTCTATTTACATTTGTTTTAGAATATTTTATAGTCACAGTGTAATGAAATGTAAAAAAACACACACATGTAAAACACAGTAACAACAAGAGCATATAAAGTATACATTTTCAATAAAATAGGAAATATTTGGTAGACAAAAAGCATATTGGAATAAAAATAAGCCACGGTATTCTCTGCATATAATAGTCATCCCCCTAACTTGGTGGAATCTTATTTATCATATAACATTCTAATTATATAGGCAACTGCCCTCATCTATATGATAAAACATTTATAGAATTCAATATACATTGGATCCAAGGAATTGTAAACACATAGAAAAAGTATGTGCTTGCAACTATACACATACTCAGAGTAGAATGTTGGATATGAATCTCAATACAGTAATGTGTCGTTTCACATTTAACCTCCCCTTGATCAGGACATTTCTCTCCAGTGTGGTCTGTTGTATCCCTTGTTTGACAAAAAAAGGGATAGAAACGGGTTCTACTCTGTTTTGCTCTTGCTGGATTAAAATAATAATGAATGTTGTATCCATTATGTATTAAAAATTGGCACTCAATTATATCACTATTTCTTATTTATACTTCTGGGTTCATTGTGCTTAATATGAACTTCCATGCTTAATTTGAAAATAACCAGTAGAACTTAAAGTCGAAGTCTAGCATGTTAAAAAGGTCAAAAATGATTAAGTAGCATTCTAATTTGTTAATTAATTGGTAGTAAAATCAAATCAAATATGAAAAGCCTGTTTAAAACCCTATGAAAGATACTTCACAACTACCTATTTTGATTTCTTTGATATAAAACCAGAAATCACCTTAAATGAGACAACTCTCGTGTAGATTATGTCTCCAATTTTCTCTAATTCAAGTCTAAATTAGAGAAGACATTTTATGAATGTATGCTATGCTCAAAGCTAATTGAAAGCAATTATCAAAGTGGCATTTTGTCTGTGACTTTAAGATACATTGTGAGATAATAAATGATTCTCATTATGTAATAAAAAGGTCACATCTTGCCTTTGGGCCAGTGAGGCTTACAGTTTTTCAAAAGCTATTTGAGTCATTTTCTTTAGTGAACTACTGCTAATACAAGAGCTATCACTTATTAAATATCAGTTGTCATCTACACAGCACCCCCATCACAGATAAGTATTTCTTTGAAAAAGAAACATCGACTCATTAAAACTGGCAAAAATATATCTCTTAAAGTGCATACCTGACATTTTCAAGCTAAAATGAATATCCTTCACTTGTCATTCACTAATAGCAATGAAACAAAAAAGTACACTAAGAGGAGAGGCTCATTAAAACAGAGGAAAGACTATTTCTTGGATTGAAAATTTGCAATCAAAGATGCACACACACACACACACACAGATACACACACAACTTATTATTTCCCAAACTAACTTATATAGAACATACATGGATTTCTGTTTAATAGATGATTAATTTTAATTTCTCTTTTTTTTAATCTTTAACTTGTTTTAATTCAACTATAGCTCTTTAAGAAATATTCATGAAAAATTGTGTGGATGTTCCTATGCATTTATATATGCTTTTTGGGCAAAAATATATATTTTACTTATGTATATGTTTTCTGCATATTGTTTAAAAAATATATATCTTTTGTCATACATTTGGGAAACTGCCACCCAACATTCTGAAAAGTAAACATTCAAAATGAACTATTCCAGTTCATAATCTGATATGGGGTATATAAACTTTTCAGGCTGAGTAGCACCTGAGGTTATGAAAAGGACTTACATGGAAAGCTATCCTTAATATATTTCTGCAGCAAAATTGTGATGAGAATTATTTGAAAGAAAAAAACAAAATTAATTTTCCTCTGTCCAGTAAAAAAAATTGACAGGATTACGGTTAATAGTTCTTCCTATAAGCCTGGCAAGACAAACTTCATGTATATGAGAAAGACCTTAATATGAAAACTGATGTTTATGTGAATGTGTACCATTATTTTTGGTGTAGGTATATTTAGATGCTGAAAAGCTTTCCACCTACCTGTATATATTTTAAAGCATGAGTGAGCTCATTCATTAACTGCCTAATCTACAGGACCTGTATGCTCCCACAGAGTGGGTCTCCTCAGGGTGCCGTCAGCCAGACAGTGCCGGCTGGCGACCCCAAGGGGGAGGGCCTTCTCTGTGGGAGCACCCACCCTCTGGAACGAACTGCCCCCAGAGATCAGGGTGATCCCTGATCTCCCTTCCTTCCGCCCCGCCCTCAAGACATGGTTGTTCCAGCTTGCGGGACTGGCCTAAGGGATTTTAAAGGGGTTTTAATTACTTTTAATTAGATCACAGTTAAATATTTCTTTTTAATTAATTTTAACAGGAGTTTTGTATTTTTTGTATTTTAATTGATTGTTAGCCGCCCTGAGTCCGAAAGGAGAAGGGCGGGATATAAATGCAATTAAATAAATAAATAAATTATTAGATATGGAATGCCATATCTGTAGATTTCCTCTTATTTTGTGGAATGAATTCTATATTGAGAAATTCACAATTCCGATATCCAAACTGGCATTCTACATTAACTATCAGTTTGCAAACATAATGCAAAACATAACTTATATCCAAAGACCTCCACAATCTCCTTTCTTGGATGCTTGGAAGTTTTCACTTTTTAAATTCCTCTTCAAATTATAGATCAAGAGATTATAGACCACAGCTTATGGCTACATATGGGCCTTTTTTATGACTTATAAACTGCCCAGAGTGGTGGTGTTAAACATTTTTCCTATTTGTTGATACTTTTGAAAGCTTGAGAGATTTTGAAGGACAAAAGCTTGTATTGGTTTATTTTAGCGCTGTTAATGTTCATGCCCATCAGAAATGCATTTAAAAAGTCCTGTTTAAAAAGTACAGGAAAGAAATGTTTAAGAAATATTTGAAGTTTTTTAATAATGTAAGTGGGTACACACTTCTTTGGATTCTGCTTCTTATATCTTGTATTTTGGTAGCATTTAGAAAACATTATCAATAGAGCAGTTTTAGTTTATTGAACAAACTATGGCTTAATATTATCAATGAAGCCAGCCATTAGATGTTTTTTACCGAATGACATCTGGATTGAGCAATGCAATGACAATGATAAGAAATAGTAAATGAAAAAATGTTGAGGCACTAAGGCTATCATTAATGGAGAGAATAACCTGTTTCCTTTCATTTGAGTACTAAACAAACTGGGTCACTGAAGGCCAACTCTTTTTTTGCCTATCCTAAAGAGTCAGTTATTGCTGCCATTGGAAATACTATTGCTTTGGTTCATATGGAGAACAAATTGAAAGGAAAGACTTAAAAAAGCCTAACAGCCAACCAAGCAAACAAACAAAATTACAAGAAAAAGATGAGCTTGGAGGCCTATATAAAATGTTATCAAGGACATGACCCCGCTGGAGAAAGTGTTCACTTTTTGAAGGTGAATTTTGAAGATTGTAAAGACTCATAAGCTTAAAAGTACAGAGGAACAGTAACTGAAGATTGATAATGCACAGGAGCCCATGAAAGCAATTCTTTTCAAATCATTAAACACAACCCCATCTTTCTCAGTTTTCAGAATTGTTCTAGAACTTTCTTTCTGTTGTCCATGCAGGCAATCTAAAAAAAACATGGGGTGGCTTTAGTGATTTAAAAAGACTAATTTCACATGCACACCTGCAACTCAGAACTATTAAATATAAAGCAAGTTTAGGGGGATTTGTAAAATTTTAAATTATACCACCATTCCTGTCATTGTTTACATTCTATTGCTTATAAAAGAGATTCTCCTTGCCAGTGATCCACCACAGAATATTATTTAAAAAATTTAAAACAATTTCTTAGTAATATCATTGCACCAACTGAAATTAAATCCAATTAGTTTGGCATTAATTAAGCTTTAATAATGTAGTCTAGTATCACCCCTAAATAGTGTGATCCATTTTCCCTTCACACAGGTAAATTGGAAAACATGGTGGTGTCATCATAATTTTTAAACATACTGAGAAAATGACAGAGCTGCAAAATTAAAATAAATGATTAATGACATTTTTTCATGTTTTATACTAATAGGTATTGCTGAGCCTTTAAATTAATAAAGCTGTCAAGCTCAGGATTGTTACAGGATCCAGCACTGAACCAAAATGGAAATTATGTATTCCAGACACCTAAAGATGACACTTTGGAATATTTTAAATTTTAATTAGTAGGTGCAATTATTCTGGCCCCTCCCTCACCTTTAACTACTACAAATTAATTGGCAATTAGTCACAACTAATTCTTTTTTTTTAACAGTTTGAACTGGAAAGATAGGTGATTTCATCTCAATATAGTTGTCTAAGGTGCAGAAAGCACACATGCAGTAAATTGCATTGTCAATTATGCAAAAAGAAAAGAACCAAAAATAAAAAACGAAACTTGTAAAATAAAACAAAAAATGTGCATAGGTTGACAAAAAAGTGTATGCTGTTTAGTGAAGGGAACTCCAAAATAACACTCATCTAAACAACAGAGTGACAAAACTCAAATGTATGCAAATGAGTTATTCACTACTAAATAACATTTGTGAGTTTAGATAGGAATCGTTTGAGCACAGCTGGATATATGTTCCAATGAGAGTCTTTCCTTCCTGGGAAGACAGTGTAGTCCTACTACATGGAGCACAAAGGAATAGGACATAGCTCTCCACACAAAGCCCTGTTCGTTGCATTGGAACTGATGCATCAAACTATTATGCTTTTAATTAAAATACAAGCTCTTTCAAATAGATGAGTTTAACTAAACTT